AATTTAAATCTGTTTCTCAAATCCTTCAACTTATCAACTTCCACCGAATCGTTGGAGGAATCTACAACTTGGGCACCATTTTTCGCAAATTTACTTCTAGTTGCACAGTTTTCGTTAGAAACTTCATCTACGGAACATCTTCGTTCGGCGAAGAATTTTTTCATCCCTTCCCTGTTGACGTCTTGGCTTAAATCTAATTGTAAGTCGTTTTTGTAAACGAGTTTTTGCAATTTGTCGTCAAACACACATAATCTCAAATCGTTTTTAAAGGACTCACAATCGTTGCCTTCGTCGATCGAGCACAGTTTTTCTTGGGTTTCGCTCGAATCTTTGGAGGAATTACTCAGTTTCCAAGACCAACTTCGGCGTTTTCTCATATTTTTGTATTTAGAATCCTTTGTAACAATACTATCCGATACTTCTGACCTTCTGCGAGTTTTCATTCGGGTTTTGTTTGCGAGATCTTGATCTGTTACTGTTTTTGGTTTTTGTTCGTCGTCTGACTCGTTCAGGATGAAATCGATTTCTAAATCGTCTGTGTTCGGTTTTTAAGTAAATTTAGAATTTTGGATAAAACAAGTCATATAATTGTGTGTGAATCCAATTTTGAAGAGCGATAGAAAGCAGCGTCCAAAATTATAATAATGTTAAACACACCAATTGATAAAACATAGATTTATAAGTATGAATTGTTGTTTTGCTATATATATAATAAAATGTATTATATATATATATATATATATATATATATATTTAATATGCTTGCAAGATATTTAATTTGCTTGCAAGTAGAGTCCCTTTCTCAATTTTTCAACTTGCTTGTCAGTAGAGTCCCTTTGTTAATTTTTTTTTAATGAGTAATTTAATTTGCTTGTCAGTAGAGTCCCTTTCTTAATTTTTCAACGAGATATTTTATTTGCTTGTCAGTAGAGTTCCTTTCTTAAGTTTTTCAACGATAGTTTAACTGCTTGTCAGTAAAGTCCCTTTGTTAATTTTGAAAGATATATTTAACTTGCTTGTCAGTAGATCCTTTGTTAATTTTTAACGAAATAATTTGCTTGTCAGTAGAGTCCCTTGTAATTTTTGACTCGTATTTAACTTGCTTGTCAGTAGAATTCCTTTTTTAATTTTTAACGAAATAATTTGCTTGTCAGTAGAGTTCCTTTTTAATTTTTAACGAAATATTTAACTTGCTTGTCTGTAGAGTCCCTTTCTAATATTTTAACGAGATATTTTATTTGCTTGTCAGTAGAGTCCCTTTTTTAATTTTTAACGAAATAATTTGCTTGTCAGTAGAGCCCCTAATTTTTTACTTAAGGTATTTAATTTGCTTGTCAGTAGAGTCTCTTTTTTAATTTTTAACGAAATAATTTGCTTGTCAGTAGAGTTCCTTTTTTAATTTTTAACGAAATATTTAACTTGCTTGTCTGTAGAGTCCCTTTCTAATATTTTAACGAGATATTTTATTTGCTTGTCAGTAGAGTCCCTTTTTTAATTTTTAACGAAATAATTTGCTTGTCAGTAGAGTTCCTTTTTTATTTTAACGAAATATTTAACTTGCTGTCTGTAGAGTCCCTTCTAATATTTTAACGAGATATTTATTTGCTTGTCCGTAGAGTCCCTTTTAATTTTTAACGAAATAATTTGCTTGTCAGTAGAGCCCCTTAATTTTTTACTTAAGGTATTTAATTTGCTTGTCAGTAGAGTCTCTTTTTTAATTTTTAACGAAATAATTTGCTTGTCAGTAGAGTTCCATTATCAATTATTCAACGAGATATTTAACTTGCTTGTATGTAGAATCCCTTTCTTAAGTTTTCAACGATATGTTGAACTTGCTTGTCAGTAAAGTCCCTTTTTTAATTTTTAACGAAATAATTTGCTTGTCAGTAGAGTTCCTTTTTTAATTTTTAACGAAATATTTAACTTGCTTGTCTGTAGAATCCCTTCTTAATTTTTTAATCAGTAATTTAATTTGCTTGTCAGTAGAGTCCCTTTCTTAATTTATATATATATATATATATATATATATATATATATATATATATATACAAAATGGTTTTTTGTAGTGATACTATATGATATTGTTTTTAAGTACCTACTTATAAAAAAATGACAAGGAAAAATTTTAGTGCATTTCTTGTTGCAAATGCACTATATTCAAATCATCAAAGTAAAGAATAATAAAAATATTATTATATTATATATATATATATATATATATATATTATATATATATATATATATATATACAACCCTATTACCTGTAGAACTTACAAATTTGGATACACACATATATGATTCAAATGCCCATACATACAACCAAACATCCATTAATTACAAGTATATATAATATATATATATATATATATAATATTATATATATTATATATATATTTATAATACTATAAATGAGCTATGTAAGTCACCTGGCAAATTTTTTGGTCCTAACGAAGCATTTGTGATCATCGTCTTTGAAACAGTGACAGTTGTCGAAGCGGGTGAGATTGCACAGCTTATACCCATGGGCCGTCTGATGGCTGACCTGAAAAAAATAAATAAAATTATGTAAATATAAAAAACATAATAATAATTCCATTTAAAATATATGAAGACAAAAAAATTAATTATTTGTTAATTAAAAAACCATGAAATCAGTTTATTTAAGTAGTTATAATGGGAATTCCTGTAGAGTTTATCTTAACCTCAAAATTGGTATTGAAAATTTTGGCTTTGTAATTAATTTTAAATTACAAGCAAAATAGTGTTCAAAACTTAATTGTAAATTAGTAATGCTTGTCTGATAAATTAAAACATGGAGCGTTTGTTTAAAATTACCCAAATGCCACCAATAAATTAAACCCTCTCCACCTTTCGCGGTATCCGAGTGAAAGGGTTAAATATAAAAAACTCAACATTCAAAAAAATATGATAATTTATCAGTTATCAAGAAAAACAGATGATACAAATGATTGTATTGCTAAAGTGTTAATTACAAAATAAAAAATTGTTTCAAAGGGGTGAAAATTAAGGGTTGTAAGTACTTTATTAATTCTGCATTATTAAAAAAAATGCTATACGAAAAAATCGGTCTAAGAAATAAATGTGAAGAGTTATTACAAAGTAACGATTTTCTTAGAATTTTTTAAACAAATAATTATTTTAGGAGGGTGAAAATTTAAGATGGTAGCTATTTTTTAATTTTACATTATAAAAAAAATTAAATACAAAAGTATCGGTCTAAGAAATAGAAGTAAAGAGTTACTATAAAAAAAAGATTTTTTAGGAGAGTGATAATTAAGGGTTGTAAATATTTTTTTTAATTCTGCATTATAAAAAAATAAAATACAAAAAATTGATTTAAAAATTAGAAGTGAAGAATTACTAAAGGGTCCATTAAAAAATAAAGAATTGTTTTAGGAGGGTCAAAATTTAGGGTTGCCTGTATTTTTTATTTCCTCATCAAAAAAAATGAAATACAAAAAAATTATCCAAGAAATGCAAGAACGAAATTTAATGTTGTATGCATTTCTCTAAATTCTGCATTATGAAAATACAAAAAATACAAAATTGATTCAAAAAATAGAATTACTAAAACTACAGAAGAAAGAAATATTTTAGGAGGGTTAAAATTTAGGGTTGTAGCATTTTTTTTAATCCCG